TGGAGAAAAAACCCCAAAAAAAAAAAAAAAAAAAAAAAAAAACCATTCCTGGCTTCTAAGACCCTACTTCGTTCATTGTTTCCTTTGCTGGCTCCTTCTCTCCTCAACCTCCAGTCAGAGAAGGACTTAATCATCAAACCTTTTCTCTCTGTTTACACTCCCTCCCAGATAATCTCAACTTTTTCATGACTTTTAATACCAACTATCTTGGAACCAGCAGATGGTGTAATGGTTACCTCACTGGACTTCCACATAGCCAACTGTGGTTCAAGTCTCAGACCTGGTGGCTTAAAACTCATGCCAGATGCTTGTGCATGTGTGTGCATGTGTGTGTGCCCAAAATTCTGTCAGGAGAATGGAAGAGAAAGGATTGTGGCATGGCCATCACCCCCTAGGGGGTGATTTCTTGCTTACTATCTCTCCAGTGAGCACACACACCCTATAGCAAAAATCTCTAAAAATAAATAAATACATTATACCAACTCTCTCTCTCTCTCTTTTAAGGTTTTTATCATAGGGCATGTACACTCACCGTTGAGAGAGCCGGAAAGTGAGAAATCACCCCCCGGGGGGATGGCCACACTGCAATACATTCTCCTTGAGATTTTGGGCACACACATACATGCATCCAGCGTGATTTTCAAGATGCTAGGTCAGGGGCTCAAATTGCAGTTGGTCATTTGAGAGTCAAGTGCCTTAACCACCACACCACCTGCTGGTCCCCCAAATATATATCTTGACTCCTAATTTTTTCCTAAATAATTATATTTATTTTATTTATTATTATTATTATTTTAAATTTGCTATAGGGCATGTGCACTCACGAGATAGAGAGAGAGTAAGAAAGCAAGCAGCCAGGCCTGGAACTCAAACCACAGTCAGCCATGTGGGAGTCCACTGCCTTAACCACCATCCGCCTACTGATTCCTTGACTTCAAATTTTTTCTTAACCTAAGATAAAATTTAGGCCCAGAGCAGGTCCAGCTCCATAGTCTAATGGTTAGGGCAGCGGGATCCTACATGGCTGATTTTGTGGTCTCCGAGAAATATATGAGGCCCATGTGCATGAATGCCCAAAATCTCAAAAGGCAAGAGAAATGGAGGAGGATTGTGAAATTATTCCCCATAAAGGGGTCCTTTCTTCCTTTCTCTCTCTGTCTCTCTCTGGCAAGCACACTTGCTCTCTGGCAAAAAAAAAAAAAAAGCAAAAGCAAACTGATTTCTCTCCCAATAGCGCACTATGACCACTACCATCACTGCTTTTTTTTTTTTTTTTTTTTTGGAGTTTTTTTCTTTGCGTGCGCTCGCCAGACAGACAGAGAGAGACATAGAGACAGAAAGTGAGAAATCACCCCCCAGGGGGGATGGTCACGCCGCAATCCCTTCTCCATTCTCCTCTTGGGATCTTGGGCACGCACGCACACGCACCCGGCCTGAGTTCCAAGCCACCGGGTCCGGGACACGAACCGTGGTCGACTACGTGGGAGTCCAGCGACATAGCCATTATGCCAACTGCTGGTTCCCATCACTGCTTTTTTTTTTTTGAAGTATTTGCCTTAGGGCATGTGTGCTTGCCAGATAGAGAGACAGAGACAGTGAGAGGTGAAGTGAGAAAACATCCCCCAGGGGTGGATGGCCACAAGGCAATCCTTTCTTCATTTTCCTCCCAGGATCTTGGGTACACACGCACATGCACCTGCCATGAGTTTCAAGCCATCAGAACCAGGCCTCAAACCACAGTCGACCATGTGCGAGTCCAGTGATGAAACTGCTACTCCATCTGCTGGTCCCCACCATCACTATTTGCAGTAGATTGTGACAGGTAAGGGTACCCCCATTTACCCAGCTGCCCAAGCCAAAAACCTTGAAGTCATCTTGGACACCTCTCATTCTCTCACATCTACATCCAATTCATAACAAATCCTCAGGTTTGTTTGTTTTAAGTTTATTTCTTCTGGAAGAGAGAGAGATGCATGAGCTCCGGCCTTAGCTAGACAGGATCATGGGCATGCACGTGCACCTGGCATGTATAGGGAGGCCCCGGGACATAAGCCCAGGACTTGCTCATGTGGCTTCAGCATCACAGTGTCCATTAATGCTGCACTACTGCAGCTGTCCAAATCCTCAGTTTTAGCTTCAAAATATATCCAGACTCTAAGCACATCACCCCCTCCACTGCTCCCACCCAGTCCAAGACACCATCACACGTTGCCTAGACCACTGCAATGGCCACCTTGTGGATCCTCATGCTTGCATCCTGTACAGAGATTCCTCCACAGCCACCAGAGTCAGATTTTCACTCTCTGCTGTGGTATTTCCAATGGCTTTCTGTATCTGTTTAATGACCCAATGTCCTACGCTAAGCCTGTGTCACCTGGGACCAAACACCTGACCACTCTCCCACTCGGCCACCGTATTGTAGGCCAGTGACCCCCCCTTGTTTTTCTTCCAACACATCAAGTAGACTTCTGCCTCAAGATATTTTTACCTACCCTCCTCCTGATTGCAAAGTTCTTCCTTAAGTAAAATATGGCTGTCTTTCTCCTGCCTTCAACTCCTTCTCAATGAGTCTTCCCTTCACACTCAGCATCTCTTCTGGTTTTAAATTTCCTTCACAACTTTTTTTTGTTTGTTTTTTAGCATGCATATGGATATAAGAATTAGAGAAGAAAAAAGAGAGAGAGAGATGAGCACCCTTCATAGCGTCTGGCCATGTCACAATACCCTTCCTCTAGTCCTCCAGCCCATTGGATCTTGGGTTCTCTCGCACATGCCCAGTGTATTTCAGGTTGACCGGCCCAGGGATTCACCATGATTGCCATGTGGGATCTGGCTTCTCTTGAGCAGTACACTACCACTGTGCTACAGAGTTGGCCTGCTTCACAAAAGTTTTGATATTCCTTCCTTCAGGAGATAAAGCCTAATTTCCTTCCTTTTGCATATGGGCTAGACTTAGTTATGTACTTTCCTTTTAAAAAATTATTTTATTTGGGTATCAGCAGGTGGTATAGTGGTTAAGGTGCTAGACACTCCCACATGGCCAACCATGGTTCAGGTCCTAGACCTGGTGACTTGCTCTCTTACTTTCCCTCTTTTTGCTCTTTCTGTTTCTCTCTTTCTGGTCAAATTTTAAAAAGAAATCAATGAATAAATAAAATTAAATAAATAATTCTTTAAAAAACTATTCAACTCTATTTATTATTAATTAATTAATGTATTTTAATTTGATCAAAGAGAAGGAAAGTAAGAAAGCAAGCCGCCTGGTCTGGAACTCAGACCACAGTCAGCCATGTGGGAGTCCAGTGCCCTTAACCACCATGCCACATGCTGGCCCCAGTTATGGACTTTAACAAATAATATATTTAACAAAGCAGAAGTGACAGCATGTGATCTCCACTAAGGTGCTGCTGAAGAAAAACCAGATCCCACATAGTGACTATCACTGGGTTCCCCAGCCCAGTCCACCTGAAACATGCCGGGCATGTGCACAAGTGCCCATGATCCAATGGGCTTGAGGACTAGAGAAAGGCGATCAGTATGTGACCAGACTCTGTGGAGGGTTGTCCTGTTTCTTTCTCTCTTTTTGTCTCTGTCTCTTTCACTCTCGGATGCTCTATCATGAATAAAGAAACAAAGTAAAAGAAATGAAAGGTTGCCTATTTAGTCTGTCTTTCTCAGACCACTCTGGGGGAAACTAACTGCCATGTTAGAACACACAACAGTCACAGGAGAAGGCCATGTGGGAAGAAACAGTCCTCCTGCCAATAACTATGTAAATAAGCCACCCTGGAAGTGCACCCTCCAGTCCAAGTCAAGCCTTCAGATTTCTGCAGCCCTGGTCAACGTTTTTACTACAGCCTCATAAGAGATCATGAGTCAGTACCATTCAGCTAAGCCACTCTCAACGTCCTGATATAAAGAATGGTGAAAAAATAAATGTGTGTGTATGTGTTGAAGATTGATTTATTTAATTTTATGTATTATTATTATTTTTAAATTTGGTACAGGGCACATACACTCACTCAAGTGAGGCAGAGAGAGAAAGTGAGAAAACAAGCCACCAGGTCTGGGACTCGAACTGCAGTCTGCCATGTGAGAGTCCAGCACCTCCACCACCATGCTAATGAGTTTGTTTTAAGTTGCTAATTTTTGGAGTAATTTGTTATGCAACAATAGATAATATACCCTAACACTTTTTATTTCCCCTAACCCAGCTATTTTTTTTTTTAATAATTACTTTATTTATTTATTTATTTTTAATTTGACCAGAGAGGGACAGAATGAAAGAGAGAGAGAGAAAGTGAGACAGCAAGCTACTAGGTTTGGACTTTAACAGTGGTTGGCCATGTGGGAGTCCAGCACCCTTAACCACCGCACTGCCTGCCAGCCCCACCCAGCTATTTTTTTCCCCCCGTTATTTATCACCATCTGACACACAATAGACTTATACCTTTATAATAGGGGCTTTATGGGACTCCCCCCCCCTAATATGTGTGTGTGTGTGTGTGTGTGTGTGTGTGTGTGTGTGCCTGGAGAGAGACAGAGAGGGGGAAAGGGAGAAATCACC